ATTCAAGTCTTTTACAAATAATGTCGGAAGAAAATACAATGTAAATATATTTATCTCCTTCACAAATAAGTAGTTAGAGGATGTCACAAACAACAAACAATGACTTTCTCAATCCTTCCAATCTCTCTTTTTTTCTCTCTTCTAATATCTTTGCAAAAACTTTGAACTTCTCCTCCAAACTAGCCCCTTAATTTGTCATCAAGCTATTTATACATCCCTCACCCCAATGCCAATGCTGTTAAATTTGGGTTTGGGCGCTTCCAGTGGTTTGCGCTTACTGTTAATGCCAATACTGTTAAATTTGGGTTCGGAAATGCCAAGCCCAGATCAAGTCATTAAACCGTTCTTGGATGATTTTTAGACATATTTTGGAAGGTCAAACGGTTGTTGAATATAACAAGTCTATAGTCGAATCGAGCGTCTCGATAAAACGAATCCAACGATCCTAAGATTGCACAATTCTGACATCTTTAAGACACTCAAATGTTCATTAAATGTATTTTGATCGGAGGAAGTTTTCCGGACCGTTTGATAAAAATGATACATATTCATGCAGTAATGACACCTAGAACACTAAAAATAAAGCCCCACCCCTCACATGAGGGGGGAGACTTGAAGGTTCAGAGAAAATTGGAAGCTCTGAAAAGGAGCTGAAGTCCAACACCATTCTGACCGTCGTCGGCTAACGCCGATCACCATCGACCACCAGCAGTCGTCGTCGACACCCGTCGATCGCCGTCAACCACTGTCGACCGTCATCATTGATCACCACCAATCATTGTTGATCACCAACAACCAGACGCTGTGAGTCATCGTCGTGGATCAACCACCGTCAATCGTCACCGTCGATCACCACCAACCGGATGTCGTCAGTCATCGTTGTTGGTCAGCCATTGTCGACCGTCACCGTCGATCAACACCAATCAACGTCGATCACGACCAATCAGACGCCGTCAATCATCGTCGTGAGACATGAGCTCATCACTATGGTCCATGTGTCAACAACGAACTACGTGGTTTATAGCTCGTGTAGCTCTCGACTCTGGTCCTTACGGCCTACGGACGTCATTCCTACTTACCCCTTTGACCTACCTGACTCATAGCTCGTGCAACTCCCAAATTTGGCCCCCATGGCCTACATATGTTATTTATACTAGCCCAAACTACTTACGTGATTATCAGCTCATGTAGCTCCCGACTCCAACCCTCGCGGCCTACGGATATCATTCATATTCGCCTCTACAACCTACGTGGCTCACAGCTCGTGCGGCTCCCGACTTCGGCCCCAACGGCCTACGGACGTCATTCATACTCGCCACTACGGTCTATGTGGTCCATTGCTCCCGTAACTGCTTACTATAGTTTCTTTGGCTAATCAATGCGTCTGTAACAATCATCTACAACACTTATTTCAACTGAGCTAGATCCCATGGTTTTTATCTCTTTTAAGGGTTTTCCACATAAAAAGTCAAGGTGTATGTTTCTCTTCTGTTATTTGTGTGTGTCGAATTTTCGTGTCATGCTAAGAAGATAATCCATTACTCTACCGCCACAAATTTTCTGGCATGCATTAGTTTGACGTTGTCCATGGGAAGTGAAGTCCCGTTCAACATTGTCTTTAACTCTAAAGACATCGAGCCTCCACTTCCTTTCCCAATGATGTACTTCATTCAACTAGCGAAGGAACCTCTTTCACATCATGAAGATCATCTCCGATGCATTTTTGAATATGGGGGGCAAACTTCATTGTAGTCTGAAAAGGTCGTTCACGTCAACGTCTTCGGCACAATTGTAGTAGGGCTGTCTTCCCACATCTTATCAGACACAAAGTATTTCACAATTTCTTCCAGGCTGGGGGGCAACCTTCACCGTAGTCTTGAAATGTCGTTCTTATTAACATTTCAAGCACGACTGGGGTGGGAAATCATCCAATATTTCATTCAGAATATAAGTGTATGAGAATCGCTTCTGCACTGGGGGAAATCTTCACCGCAAATAACAATTTCTCAGCGCCTCCTCATCGTATTGGGGTTCTTCTTCAACTAGATGAAAAATTTGATCCCTTTAAGGCCCGCTACATAGGTTGTTTTACAAGCTCACATGGAAAAAGCCCCTGCTGGGGGGAAAAAGATTCAAAAGCAGCAACTATTATGACTACAACAATATTTCCAAGAAAACATACGGCCCATTGTGATATACGCCCTAGTCTCAAGAAACGCAGGACATCTCTAACAACTGATTCTAGGCTTAATCGGTCCCAGGGGGATCTGATTCGACCTCTTCCATTACATGCTACAGTTGTCAAACAAAAGCTTCGACATACAACCATACAACCTCAGTCAGATAGGTCAAAAATCCTTGGTGGATTTCCTTGGACCTCTTCCATAACATGTTACGGTTGTCAAACAAAAGCTTCAACCAACAACCTAGGATAGGTCAACTACCCTCGGTGGATTCATATGACTTTGTTACAGGTTAATACTTTTGAACATCTCTAGTTATACAACTCAAAATCGATCTTACATCCTCAATGGATTCTCCTTTCAACCATGCCCCAGGAAGTCAAGCCCAAAAAGGCAAGACCTGATGCAAAAATCCATAGCATAAAAGGAAAGGTCGCGATTAATATGAAACAGGGTTCATAAAACGGAAATAGGGATCCAGAATCTTCCTACCTCTGGTAGAAGTTCCATAAAACAGTCCCTGTTTTGTATTAATCACCACTGGGATAATGCGGTTGGTGAGCTCAGCGAAGGGCGCGCTGAAGCGTAAAAGGAAAGGTTTGTGGCAGGTAGTCCCTTCAGGGTAGATGACGAGATCACCCTCTTTGAGAAGGCGGCGAATGCAGCGAGCTTCAGATTCGCGGTCGCGGGAGAGCGCAAAGGCACTGATGGGGGAGATGAGTTCGGAGAAGCGATTGATGTTGTAGGTGACACAAGAGATTTTGCGGCCGAGTGCGACGACAGTGAAGATGGGATCGAGGACTGTGCGGTGATTGCAGATGAGGAGCACAACAGGATAACCGGGGGAAGGGGGAGGGGAAGGGGAGCCGCAGACGATGAGGTTGATGCCCATGAGGTGGTAGGTGTGTCGGACGATGCGTTCGGGGAGGGAGATGTTGATGTAGACGCGAATGATGGAGAGAAAAAGGCCGACGAGGAGCCAAAGGAAGGTGAGGAGAGCGGTGAGGGGAGTTGGTTGTTGGGCGAGACGGCCGTTGTGGAGGATTTAAATGACTATGCGCTTGAATAAAATTTATAAAATAGAAAAGTAAGATTTGAGGTGAAGTACAACATTTTATTAAAAACATAGTCCCATTTCCGATCATGCGGCAAGTTTCCCCGCTTGTTGAGTGAGTTCAGTCTACCAGGTACACAATCTATAAATCGGCTAATTCGAAGTAGATCCATATTTACTTAGCATCTTTCTTACTGTTCTTAAGCCACTAATTGACCATGAGTAGATGAAAAAAAAGATTTACACATTTCTTAAAATAAACTTGAAATTTTTTTTATCTCCATGCATGCTACAAATTACAACCCCTTAACTCTTAAAAAATTTGAATCAACTACTTGACAATCATGTGATTATTAAATCACTAATTTGTCTTTATAACATACACATTAACTCATTCAAATAGTTTTTTTACTTAATTTAAATAATCCTGAATAAGTTTAAGTTGAAAATCTGAACTAGTCAAATTTAAATTTATTAAATTAATTAACTACAAGACAAAATCAAATCCAACTTAGAGTCCATGAGCAGCGGTGGCGGTGCGACATTGCATCACAGTTTTGCTTTTGACAGCTTTTCAAAAATATGCCACTGAAATTAGTATTTTGACTTTATAATTACGGTCCGACTTTTCGCCCATTTTATCAATTAATTTTATTTTCCTTAAACATTTAATTTTAAATGTCTATTAACTTATTAGAGCTTGGTGTTATTTGGGAGGAATTATTGTGTGCGGTGTCCGATCCTGGCCGTACATCACGATGATCTACGGTCATGAATATTTTTGTTTTTTTATTTAAAAAAAAATTAGGTGGGGCCCCCCAAAATACATCGAGACCATAGATGAGGTGATATAGGGTCCAGATGGAATATGGAATAATTTTTCGTTATTTGGAGGGCGCATTGGAGAAAAAGTCCAGCAACCCCATCATTTTTACCATTATTTTTTTGTTCTTTTGGCAGTACATTTGTACCGCCTAATGCATATATATACATATCTAACAATATCTAAACTTATTTTTTTATTTATACAACATACTCCAATATTTTGTCACGTAAATATCACTATTTTAATTTTAGATAATATTTCTATATAATTTTATACGATCATATATATTCTATAAAACTTGATATTAAAGTGTTTGATAGCTAAGTAGAGGAAAATTTTTATATATAATAATATTTTGATAGCTAAATAGAGGAAAATTTTTGCGTATATCTTATATAAGACGTACGCAGAGCTGCATTTACATAGAGGTTATTTAGAGGGTATAAGAGGGATACATCCGTGTTATACCCCTCTTTAATCTCTCTGTAACCTACTTGTAACTTATGTATAACCTACAAATAAGTTTCACGCTTCTGTAGTTCCGGTTGTTACAAGTAAGTTACATGGATGTTACAAAAGTGTACAATGCAGATATAGCCCGCCTATACCCTCTGAATAACCTCCGACGTATGCAAATATTTTTCCTAAATAGATAAGATTACGTAATTTTCGTTTTCTCCGATAAACGAAAACTGAACTTTTATATTCTCAATTGACCATTTCAAATTTGAAATTTTTTTTTTATATAAATAATAAAATTTAATACTTTTTTCTTAAATATTTTAAATAATTTAGTAATTTTATCCCCTCATATCAATTAGTTTTCTCAATCCAAAAAGAAAAATTAAATAATCGATGATTTTACCCATTCTAAAAACTAAAGCTTGTGCTTATAAATATTCTATGAAAAGCATTCCCAATCACACCACCATGGTTCTTCATCTCTTGCCCATGTCCTTCTATCTTCTTCTTTCCTTACTACTCTTCTTATTCCTCAAATCAATTGCTTTAAAAAGAGAACAACGAAGCCATAATCTTCCACCAGGCCCCGCGCCGCTCCCCTTTATCGGCAATCTCCTGAAACTCGGCCGTCTTCCCCATGTCTCCCTCCGAAACCTCGCCGCAGAGCACGGCCCTCTCATTCACCTCACCCTCGGCCAAATCCCCACCATCATCGCCTCCTCAAAGGAAACAGCTTTCGAAATCCTCAGAACGCAAGACCGCATCTTTTGCAGCCGCCCCGAACTCATTGCAAGCTCCCACCTTTCCTATGGCGGCCTCGACATCGCCTTCTCCCCTTACAACGATCACTGGAAGCAAATCAAACGATTCAGCAATGCGGAGTTCTTTGGGGCAAGTAAGGTGGAATCATTCCGCGCTATTCGGGATGAAGAAGTTGGTGTTTTGGTGAACACGATAAGAAAGGATTGGCGTGATGGAAAGGCGACGGATTTGAGCAAGATGGCTGTTTGCTTCTTTAATAATGTTATATACAGAGAGGTGTTTGGGAAGAGAACGTCGGCGGATGGGGAGTGCGGGGAGAGCCGACACCAGGATCTTATTAGGGCGGTGATAGATGTGCTCCCTGGGTTTAGTATTGGGGATTTATTTCCTCGATTTTGGTGGCTGGATTGGCTTACCGGGTGGCGGCTGAAGCTTGTGAGAAGTTTCAGGGAGATGGATAAGCTTTTTGATGAGGAGATAAGAGAAAGACAACTGAAAAAATCAGGTCTGGGAAGGAAAGAAGAAAACTTTCTTGATTTGCTTCTTAGGTGTCAAGTTGAGAAGCATCCGCTGCTAGGGTTCCTCATGTCAAGGGAAGATGTCAAGGCTTTGATTGTGGTAAATATAATGAAATCTATCTTCTTGCTTGCTTTTAAGCCAAAAAAGGCTGCTTTTGTTCATATATATATCAGTTTATCATCGATTTCCTGGAAGAAATTTTCTAACTTCTGGAGTCCTACTTAAAGCTCCCAATTGAAAAAAATGTCTTGAATCCTTGAAACAAATTTGATTTATATATCCTCCGGGTTCATTTGTTTCATCAATATACTTTCAATAAATCTATCTGCAGGATTTATTCTTCACAGCGACAGAGACAGCAGCAGTGACAATTGAGTGGGGAATGAGCGAGCTAATGAAAAACCCAATAGCCATGAAGAAAGCTCAGGAAGAAGTCCGGCGAGTTGTCGGCACCGGAAAGCTGAAAGTTGAAGAAGATGATCTTCAACACCTCAGCTATCTGAAGCTGGTTGTAAACGAAATCTTGAGACTCCACCCTGCAGCTCCTTTGTTAGGTCCACATGAATGCATGCAAGACACTAGAATCAACGGCTACAATATTGCAGCAAAGACAAGAGTCATCATCAACGCTTCAGCCATTGGAAGAGATCCGAAGAGCTGGAGTGATCCGGAGAGTTTTCAACCAGAGAGGTTTTTGAATGGTAAAATAAACTACAGAGGAAATCATTTTGAGTTCATACCATTTGGTTCGGGTCGTAGGATTTGTCCTGGAATGGCTCATGGTGTTGTTGGGGTTGAGATTGTTTTTGCAAATCTTCTTTATTGTTTTGATTGGGAATTGCCGAATGGGATGCAGGAGAAGGAATTAGATATGGAGGAGCGTTATGGGGTTAGTATTTCTAGGAAAAATCCGCTCCTTTTGATGGCAAAACCAGCCTTCGGTGTCTCCATATAATGAAAAACTATTACGTGTCGGTTACCGTATCATATATTTGGAGGATGGTCGGAATGTAGTCACGTCATCATGTATCACACGACAGTACTTCTGGATCGTTGTCCAGACGTGTGATCGCCTCACGTCATGATTATAATGTATTTAATTTGTCATAGAGTCAACAAAAAATAATGCTTTCAAGCTGCATGAAATTAATAAATGTGTTTGCTTAAGGGGTTTGATCAAGTTCATATATATTGCTTCTAATTTTTTTTTTAGTATTGTTTCAAATTTTGATATTACATCTCACACATCTTGAATGAACCTAGACTACAAAGGTTATTCTATGCCATCTAAGATTTTAAAGTATACAAGATGACATGTCTATTATCACATGAAGGGTTGTATCATTAGACAACATGTTTACGCTATTGCATAGCAAAACATAGTTTACGGAGATTAAAGTTTTGTGAATAAAGAGTCTCGTAATGTTGGTCAGGTTTGGAATTTGATGATTTTTGTCCATTTATAATAATAAGAGGTAATCATAGTTCATAACATATGATTTTAATGACTTATAATTTGTTGCATGATATGTGCATGTAAGAGATTCATGGGATGTTTGTCATGTTCATGGTATTTTATGTTGATATAGGGGTCATTTGTTCATAGCAAAACTCGTGTTCGGCTCGTTCGCTAAGTTAACGAGCCGAACACGAACAACACGATTTGTTCGTTCGTGTTCGGCTCGAAATATTACTATTCAATTATATATATATATATATATCTTGATGAATAGTATTTCTACAAAAATTAATTGACTACAAGGATACAAAAATTTATAATCAATTAAAACTATTAATTAAGAAAATAGAATAAAAATTATTATATTTAATTCAAATGATGTTTTAAATCTTGCCTCAATCTATCTTATGGCTACTTGATTAGGTTTATCAAAATGACTCTTTGTTCGTGACCGGCTCGTGTTCGACTCGCTAAGCAAATGAGCCGAACACGAACATACTTTTTGAGCTCGAAATATAAACTAGTGACTGAACCTGGACTCGCTCGTGTTCTGCTCGTTTACACTCTTAGTCATGTAAGATAAAATTGATGCTTAGGTGTTAAATATGTAAATACATAAGATTTTAATGGTATGTACGTAAATCATTTTAAAATAATTTAAAAATAAGAAAATGACTAGCTCAATATGTATATTTTTAATTTTAGCATAGGCATTTGAACAAATTCATAAATCAAATATATTAGGTTTAAAAATATAAAATAATTTTCATGTTATAATAAATAATGAAATGATTATAATACTTGATATAATTTTAATTTATATTCTTTTTTTGATCTTTTACTAGCATATTCTTATCTATTTTAGATTTAAAATTAAAAGAAAAGTACGATCACCAATAATAATTCAATGTCTGGATAAATTGATGTTATTTTTTAAATTATTAATTTATGCCCTCATTGAAATATTTTTTGGCTTAGGACATAGAGCTCGCTTCGCTCTTTCTTGCTCTGGCTCATGCCACTCTTGCTTCTCTAATACACCCGCTCAGGACTCACTTTGCTCAACCTCGCTTTGCCTTGCTTGACATGAGCTCAACCTCGATAGCACGCTTGCACACTGAATTCTTTTTGTTGCTATTAAATTTATAATGATTTTTATTTAGTTATTTTTTACATATAAATAATTTTTTATTGGATTACTTATCATGCTGACGTATCAAAATTTTAGCTTTTTTTAACTTTTATATATGTTATGAAGTGATTTCAAAGAAGTGCCCGAAATGTGTATTTTGTTATCTAAATAGTGATGTGTGACGGAGATTAAGTTTACTAATATAATATACTTGCCGCCCTCAAAAGAAATGCTGGTTCTGCCCTGGTCATGTTGGCATTGAAACAAAAAATGCTTCTTCAAAGGAGAGCTTTTAGATGCAAGTAATATTTTATTGTGAACTATTGATTATTTTTTATTTATTATATTTTATTAAGCTATAATACAAAAATTAAATTGACACGATGTTTTTGTTAGCAACACACATTTCAAGAGAGGTTACATATTAGTTTTAGTATGCCACATGAGTTATAGTACGTTCTTAGATTGTGATCATCTATCTAGTAGTGACTCTTAGTCAATAAAGGACATGGAAGAACATGTTGAGCGACCACATCTAATTAGATGTTATATAGTTGTAAATCTATTAAAGGACTTCCTTATTAAATTATGAAAAGAAAATGTTGACAATCATATATCATCTAGTATTAAGAAAAAAACTTCTTGCATCAAAAATTGAATGTTATGAATTTTAAAAAAATGTTTGTGTTAAGAATGTATGTACATTACTGGATTTAGAAGGGAAGATAAATGATATACAAATATATAAGCTCTGAAAAAATGATTATAATAGACAAAGAAAAGAAAGAAATATTTTATAAGATATGAAATAAAGATGACAGTATTGATGGTTAGTTAACTAATAAAGATGAAAGTATATAAAGTCGCGTGTCTAAAATCAAATGAAGGATGGTCTCATTAAACAACTTTTTTACTTTATAGCATGGCAAAACATAAATTGCCAAGATTGAAGTTTTGTGAAAGAGCCTTGTAATGTTTACTTAGTATTGGAGTTTTGATGATTTTTGTCCATTTAGAATAACGTGCATTAATCAAAGTACATATTGTATGGTTTTGATGACTTCTAAATTGTTGCATGATACGAGCATTCAAGAGATTCATAGAATGTTGTCATGTTGGCATTGAAGCATAAGATGCTTCCTCAAACGAGAGGTTTTTGATGTAAGTAATATTATTGTGAGCTATTGGTTACTTTTTATTTATGTTATTTTATTAAGCTATTATAAAAATGTAATTTGACATTTTATTTTATTAACAACACACATTTTAAGAAATATTAAAAACTAGTTCTACAAGTATGCTACAAGAGTTACATGCAGGGACAAACTTCTTTTAAATCTCCCGTGCGGCTTTAACACTCTTTCATAGTACTAAATCAGCCTAACACTTGCAACACTTTGACTTGTATGCACCAAATCTTTCTAGGAATAAATAGGGAGAAAATATTAAAGAAAGGAACAATTCGCTAAGGAATGGAAGATTACACTTGGTTACTTAGAAGCCTTTGATGGATACAAATGAGGGAGAGGGACTTCTATTTAGAGTCCTCTCTCAAACCTTAGCAACTTTCAAGATTACATTAGAATATACAAACATCTAGATAGTTCTGCATTGCTTTTTTATATATATACATGATCTAGACCTTTCAAGGCTATCCTTGAGTTTTCCTTGAAGCTTTTCCCTTCCAACATTCCCAGGAATGTGATGTATCATTCTAGAGTCACTTGTATTATTATCATTCTCTCTAGTTTTCTCTAGATTATTCTTTCTTATATCAGAAAGGATGTGGGTTGGCCTTTCTTAAAATGAAGGTGCATGACGCTCTCCCCCAGCTAAGCTCACAATGCTCTCATTGCACCTTCCACCTGATACCATCAATTCTTTCTTTTTCTAAGTGTCTCCATATCTCATTTTCTTGGCTGCCTGCTTTTATATTCTTCTTGCAGCCTTACGTAATTTCGCTCGAGCTAACTCCTTTTTCTTTTTCCATGATTTGATAAATTTGAAGACTGTTGGACTTTTTCTCTCATACCTTATTGTAGGGGAGAGGTATGTCATGCAATATGTTTCATAGCTAGCGATTTAGCCCTTGATTCTAACCTATTTTAATGGTTCATCTTCTTTCTTGATGGTAGCTCCTTTGGTAACTCACTTTTATACTTATCGATTGTTGTTGCTACCTACCTTGACATTTATTATTGGGTCCTTGGTTCTTCATTATGAAGAATAGTCAAGTAGCTTCCCTCCCCTTGTCTGATGCTCTTCATGATTTGGATGATTGATAACATGTTAGCTTCTTGCTTGTTAGTTATTATTGTTGGTACTAAGCAAGCTTGATTACCTTCCATAATACACATACTATTGGTGAAGGGTATTGAGAATGCTCTTGCTTGATTAAAGAAGTATAACCCTAGAGCAACTTTAAAATAATATATTGGAATGACTGAGAAGTTTAATATACCTAAGCAAGCTCCAATTTTAGTCTTTACTCTTCTGAATACTTCATGGATTGTCCACATTATTGAATTGACTACCTTGATGGAGCTTTCTCCTTCAGTTATTTGCAGACTCAACCTTTTTGAATTTCAATGGAGTTGACGTGGTGAGAAGCACCTGTGCTCATGCCTCATCCTTTGCATTCTCAAGATAAAATTGTCTTTTAATCTCTTTCTTGAAGTTATTGAAGGTGGATATGATACACATTCCTTTCTCTATATCTCGTCTTCTTCTTCTCCACCACAACATAATGATGTTAGAGAGATAAAGAGTTGCAAATTGAAATTTTGCGTCCTCTCCGTAATCCCTATGGCTTTAAAATATTGCTCAAGTCCGCATCAGAAGTTGTCGACTTCTTTCAAATTGCAAGTTCCTCCAACACTCTTTGGCTTTGGAACTTCAATTTGCTTAGCTTTGTAAGTATGGTGGTTGGTGGATGTCGCCAGTGCTCTCTTGCATAGCGATATGTCTCCACATATATCCTCCAAGCTGACACATATATTGCTTATTTCTTCCTAGTGAGATCAGAGCTCCCCCATTAAGTCCTCCCACATCTTTGCAATTTGATCTTTTCAGAATTCCTCCAGTTGGAGTATCATACCTGTGATCGTCAAGTGGATGGTGATGTCCTCCTCCTCAAGTCCATCCACCTTCTGATCAAATCTTCTATCTGAGCCTCCTTGCTATTCATTGCCTTCAACTTCGGAGGAAGTCATGAATCAAAACCATGCATGATCTCCTTAGACCTCTCATGTGGTTTAGATGCAGCCGATCTCGTTGCTCCTGACCGCTTCGCCCTTGTTGGGATGATTCCACATTTTGTTGCTTTAGGCACCATGATGTTCTCTTTGACGTTCTTTGTCATACCTTCGAACCTTAGCTCAAATACCAAGTGTCACAAACAAACTTATCTTAAGTCTTTCGTGCAGCTTTAGCATTCTTCCTTAATACTAAATCAACCTAACATTTGCAAAGCTTAGATTTGTAAGCACCGAAATTATCTAGGAAGAAGTAGGGAGAAATTATTGAAGAAATGAACAATTCAATAAAGAATGGAAGATTAAACTTGGTTGTTTAGAAACCTTTGATGGATACAAATGAGGAGGTGAGACTTATATTTATAATCCTCTACCAAACCTTAGGAACTTTCTATATTACATTAGACAATACTAACTTATAGATAGTTTTACATTGTTCTTTTATATATATACATGATCCTAGATCTTTTTAAGCTATCATTGAATTCTTCTTGAAGCTTTTCCCTTACAACCTTCTCGGGAATGTGGTGGATCCTTCTAATGTCTCTTAGAATATTCTTCTTCTCTCTAGTTTTCTCTCGAATATTCATTCTTTTAGCAAAAAGGATGTGGCTCGGCTTTTTTTAAAAATGGAGGTGCGTAACAATAGGTCGAAGTCCTTGATTCGAGACCATCCTTCTAATAGCGACTCTTAATCAATAAATGACCAGGAAAAACTTGTTAAGTGACCTCATCTAATTAGATGTTATACAGTTGTAGATCTCTTAAAGAGCTTCCTTATAAATTATATAATTGTTGACAAACGTATATTATCATATAGTACTGAGAAAAAGCTTCTCGCATCACGAGTTGGTTGGTATGGAAATTTAAGAAATATATTTGTGTTAAGAATTTAAGAATATTGTTGGATTTAGAAGGAAAGCTAAATGATATACGTCCAAACACTTGAAAGACTTTCAAAAAATGATTATAATGGCAAAGTGGAGGAAGAAATATTTTGTAAGTATGGAAAAAAAAAAAAAACAAAAATTATAATGGTTAGTTAACTAACATATCAAGGCAGACATGTAACTCATACAAAGCGATTGTCGAGCTCATTTGACTTATCAATAAAATTTGAGCAGGACTATCAAAATTGCTGGACACCTAATTTAGAGCAAACATAAGATAATATAACATAAGCTTCGACATACAATGTCGTTGATGGAGGACGCCAGAATGTGATTTTATTATCTTCTAATGTCAGCCTCATCACCACTTGAATTTTCTTCATTCATTTGACTCAAATGCATTAAGGATTTTGTTACGCAAATAGCTACATTATTGTAGTCATCATCATATCTTCTAAATTATTAGTTTAAATGCATGATGGCATGCTTTTTTTACTATTTGACCAATTTTTACATAGTAAAAAAATTATTGGAACTCATTATCCAATTCTTAAAGTGCTTAAATTTATTTAATTGTAATGCTAAAACATATTATATATATATATTATTAAAATGAAAAAGCTTGCTGCTGCAGACTTCTTTACTTTCATATGAACCTTCCTCTCTACTCTTTGAATAAGAGGAAAATCAGAGCACAAGTTGAACATTTAAACAAATAAATTAAAGCAACTGGGCTTTTCTGCAAAGAAAACCAATTGCATCTCTCTATTCTTTGCCTTTGTCGTATGCAGTACTAAAATCTAGTTATTAACAATATATTAGGCAATAAGCTAAGTTTATATACTTATTTTTATTTGGTCTTAGGAAGAGTCATTTGGCGAGGGCATGCTTAGTGATGGGGTGCTACACATTTGATATAAAATAGGGAAATTTGCATGCATACCATAATTATCTCCTTTATTAGTTTGGTGTAATAAGCCTGTGCCTGAAAAATGAATATGTTATATTAAAAAAAAGAAATGTTTATTCTTTTTAAATTAGTGATAGTAATGTTTTGGTTGTGACATAAAATGTCACTTTTAGTGGCATAAATTTGTAGTGGTTTTGAAATCGTTCTTAAGGGTGTTTTGGGCAGTTGTAGTTTTTTTAAGAAGTAACTGTGAAATTGTTAAAGAAGAAATTGTTGTTCAAAAAACTGCGGAGTCTATTATAAAATTTAAAAAAAAAAAAATGAGACCATAACTTTCTAGCAGTCATCATAATAAGTTAGGTCTGGTGATAAATGCAAAATTTAACTGCAGTTTTATGAGAAAACAGACAAAACACAATTTTACTAAACAGAACAAAAAACTGATATGTGGTGTTGCACCACCGCCTCAAACATGAGAAAATTTTCCATACGGAGTCCCGGATGCAGCTCTTCGTGCGAACTCCAATAATATTCCGCCATGCATGCTACACCGAGCCCACCTAAAAAAATGTTAAAGTGAAACCACAAAGATTATTGGGGGTTGTTGCGAGAGGTTATTGAAGTGGAATCACGAATGTTATTGAGAGAGTTATTGAGGTATTAACTCCAATAACGCGCAATAACCCTTCAATAACCCCCTCAATATCCTCCAATAACCTCTCCAGTTTCATTCTAGTAACTCCAACAACAATCTTCCAATAACCTCCGCGGCTCTGCTTTAATAACCCATTACAATAACCTCTACATTAACCCCCAATAACCTCTATTGTTTCACTTCAATAACCCCTGCATTAACTCCCACAATAAGCCACGATTTTATTTTAATAACTCTTAATAACTTCTACTATATAGCACACATGACAGTATATTATTAGAATACCCACCCAGAGTTTTCCGCTCATGAAAAATTTTCTGGCTACAAGTTACCTAAACCATCGGAAATACATGAGCCGATGAAATTTTATTTTTTTACCCTTCCCTCGGCTTAAACCAAGCAAACCGAACCGTCCCTCCTCCAACGTCACGAATCGCAAAATCGTTCCCCGCGAAAACCCTTGCTAGGCGGCCCAGTTTCCCTGCTCTCTTTTCACCGGAAATTCTTCCTCCTCCTAACGCGATCCAAGGCCGAACGTCGACTTGCTTTGACTTCCTCCTCCACACGCCGATCTACCCAATCTTCCTTCCCTGACGAAACCTTAGGCCTTACCGCCGACCTCCCCTGTAGGTGTGTGGTAAGAACCTCAGATCTAACATCTTTTGTAGTGATTTTTATCATCTTATATTTTCCACTTTTTTTTTCTTTTTTTTCCTGACAGCTTATATTTCCTTTTTAGTAATTTACATGTGCATTTCACTTCAAAAAAATCAATTAAAAGTGGCATTTTGTTGAGTTGTGGAAACCGGTCCACTTTATGGAAGTTAATTAAATAGCTGTCCGTGGAGGTGATCGGCCTGGTGACATAAGAAATATTCCCCTCGTGTTGTTTATGTGTTATTGTGTGTTATTCAGGTGTATTGTGTGTTATTCAAATATTATTGATGTGTTATTGTGCTATTATAACATTGGTAATATTCCCAGAACACAATAACATTTGAGTAACATACATTAACACCTGAATAACACACAATAACACCTGAATAATATGAGGAGAATATTCTCTTGTGTTACCAGGTCGATTACCTCGCTCTGCACGTAACTCTACGTGCTGAGTCCTGATATAATATTTTTTTGTGCTTCCCGCCTCCTGTTTTTTTCTATTTCTAAATAAGGCAGTTGCCTTTTGTGCATGGTCCCACCATCTATTAAAGCAGCAGGTGTTCGGTTTTCTAAGATGTTTCTTCGGACGTGAGGTTTTGTTATAGGAGGAGAAAAGGAATTGGATTCCATATCTCTGGCTTCTGCGATCGAACTCTAAGGAAGAAAGAATCGCTGGTGCTGTTCTTCTTGCCTTCTTCTTCTGTAGTGACTCTCGGGTGAAGAAAGAAAAGAAGAGAGAGAAGAAGAGAGAGAGAGAGAGGAAAAGAGATAAATTTCTTATAATCGTCGAGGTGATTGACGGGTATATTCCTCAAGCTAATAAAATCCTCTACAACTCTGTGGATGTAGACAATTTGCCGAACCACATAAAATCTGTGTTTTCACAGTTGTTTTCTGTTTTGTGATTTTTCTCGATCCGGTTTTTCGCTTTATTGCCATCATTTTTCACAATAACTGGTATCAAAGTTTTGGTTTGGATTTAAGGAAAAGCAATGGACAGAGACGAAGTGATGACATCGGTGATCGAGAAGTTTAATGACACAGATTTTACTTACTGGAGGATGTAGATAGAGGATTACCTCTATGAGAAGAAACTTAATCTTCCGTTACTGGGAAAGCTACCAAAAAAGATGGATGAGGCGGAATAGAATCTGTTAGATCGACAGGTTCTGCTGGTTATATGATTAACCCTGTCGAGATCGGTTGCCCACAATGTTATCAAGGAGAGGACTACTTTTAAAAAGTACGAGACCGAACCGATCTTATATATTTAATAGTTAAAATAAACGAGCACAACATCGCAAACGATGCATCTATTCCAAGGAATAAATACATTGTTTGATAGTGAGACTAAACTATAGAAACCATGACATCCGTTTTGGTCTGCGAAACCGTTCATATTGATCGACAAATTCCTCAATTCAATATAGAAGACTAAATATGATTTATATTAAGCTGGGTTCAAAAGTTTCTTATAGAGACAAACTCCTGTAGTTAATTAAATCTTAAGTGACCGAAACCGCTTAAGAATACTCTCGATTCAGATCAGTGGTTTTGCTTTCAAGATTTTCTAAGTTTAAGTTTTCAAGTTTGGACATTGGAAATTCAAAAGAGAATAGACCAAAAGTAGAACAATTATTTTCAGAAATCTAAATGAATGAAAGGTAGGAGATGTCATTGATCCGAGAAAAATCCCGGTAACTTCTCAAGCTACCCTACTGTTTGACTTTATGTTTTGGGAATGATTTATTTGATATTTCAATCTTGCTAATTTTATTATTCAGGGCTTGTGATTGCATGACACGATCATACAAATAGTCTGGAAGATAGGATGATTTACATCGTAACGAACGACGACTTTGGAGCCTAAAGCTAGTTAGGGCTTAAATTGCATAACATAATTGTGCAAAAATCTAAAGATAAGTTGATGATTTATGTCGCACTAGGCAGACAACGTCGAAATTCTATGACTTCTTATTTAATTATAAGAAAAGTTCTTGTAGATCTGCTTGCTCTCTCGAAGTCATTTTTCTATACATTTTTGTCATGCTGCCCACGGTGTTAGCTCTAAGCTCCTCATTGAAGTGATAGTCTTAAGGCTAAAGTTCAAGAAGTTTTATCGTGTATGTTTCAATGTTTTGGTTTTGTTGTTGTTATTGTTCAAGTGTTCTGGGGGGTTTAAAGTTGATTAGAGTGACACCTGTTAGGATCCAACGGTTCCCTCGTTCCGGTACCACTATTTTTCTTTTGAATTTACTTAGTCTAAACAAGCTGCTAAACTCATTTAAACTGGGGAGATCTCGTTATCAACCGTAGGTTACCTCATCCGAGGGACATATCATGAAATTTTTTGTTTTGTTGTTGTATTTTGAAAATGTTGTTTAATTTTGAAAATAATTTTATAATTTTCAGTTTTGAAAAATTTTGCAAGCAAGATAAATAATGTAGGTAAAAAAGATGTAAAAATAAATAAATAAAATTGTAGTGCATAAAATATAAATGCGTACCAGTCATCTTTTCGCTACTCTCACTGCATGGTTAGCATCATAAAACATAATATGTTTGCAGAAATTAAATAAATTACAGAGAAGTAAATGGAAGCATCCGGTACAAAAAAGTCAGTAACTGAGTCGTAGCAAAACCCGAGTAAAAAAGAAAACCCATATTCACATATGAAAGACCAGAAATAGATATAAGACATGGGTAAAGGTGGGGGCTCAAAGTAAGACTGTGTGATTCCCGACCTTAAATAAGAGCTACCAACCCGATCATCTACGGAGAGCAGTCCTAACCTCAATCCAAGTGATTAACCGTGGACCTTAACAAATTTTCATTTGAATTTAATTTTCATACATACACAATTTTATCATGCAAAAGAGACTTTTGTTTAAAATATTTTGTAAAGAGGTGCAGTCTATAGGTTAATCAATCTAATCGAGTTACGATTACAAGCAACTTAAGAGTATTAGAGGCAGTCATCTTTTCAAGAGTCGTTGAATAGTATCATTGGTCCTTATCCTCTCATTTTCTTAAAGGTCATAGAGATAAGAGATACTATTATAAAATCCCTCATCGTATCCATCGTTTTAGCACACATTAACATTATCATCATTGCCCTTACCACCTAGACCTCAGACTTACACAAGTCCGATGATCCATATGTGGCACAAACAAATATCCTCATTCGCTCACAAGTATTTAAATACCTTAGGGAATACTTAAACCATTAAGCATTAGGTTATTAATGTAGGATAAGTAGTTTAGAGTATTTCTATTGATTTGTGTGAATTATCAGGTCCTGAAACCATAACTTGGTGGGTCTTAAGGGGCTCGTCCGATTTTCAATGATCGTTTGTGTTTTTAGGATGATGTTCTTCAACAAATCATAACAGACCCAGATGTTCTTTAAAATATCTGAAATCTCCCAAGGATGTCCAAATAATTACTCCAAACAAAATTGGAATCTTTAGATCATTTTAAGTTCATTTTAATCATGCTAGACTGTTAATTAAACCATCCAAAATAAATTAATGTCTTTTAATTTATGCTCAATATATCTTAATTAACCCCTAAGTAGGCTAACATCTATTTTGTTGGATGCTTGAATGGGTGATTATCCCAAGAGTGAGTTTAATTACTTAAAGAAATTTTTCTCTCTCTGAATTGAACTTGAGCCTATAGTGTTTATGAAAAATTATGTTTTTTATTTTCTGATCCCTTTAAATAGTTTCAGATCAATCTTAGCTCATTACCAAGCTCCTAGATCATTAAGGATAGATTTGTAATTTAAGTTAAGTGATATTAATCCTTATTCAACGATTGTATCATGCTTAAACATTAATCTGGGGCTTCCAATTAGTTAATTATTGTCTTCCTATCTCAAGCCCCTCACTTGAGAATCTTCCATATTTAATCATCCTTCAATTCTCAATAATTGGAGAAATTACACTTTTACCCTTTTTTTAGAAAATAGCATGAGTTGTTTTTTTTATCCTTTTAACTTTTTGGTTTGACCTAAAATTTTATTGAGATTTAAAATTTCATAATTACCATTTTACCCTTGGAGCCTTTAACTTCATAATTCCTTTAATTCAATCCACATGACTTTAAAAATTTTGCTGAATTGCTACTCATGGTTTAATTAAAATATTAGAGAAGAGTTTGTATTTTTTTTTAATTTTATTTTTAGAATTATTTTAATTAAAAAAAGGAATTTTGAATGTTAATCCATTTAATTAACTAAAGCAGATATTTTTAGTTCACATTATTCTTCTTTATTTACTGAGAGCGAGGTATATTTATTTTATTTTTAGCATTTTTCTACGTCAAGTTATGAATTTTTAAAATTTTTATAATTATTTAAATAAAAAATACTCCAAATTTTTTTATTTATCTACGTTGGCGTCACGTCGATCTCATCTTCTCCAAAGCCTTTGTTGTTTTGCACCTAACAAGTCTGGACGTGTTTGAATGAAGTACGAGAAGAACGTCAAAATTTAGATATTAGATGTATCAATTCATAAAAATTGTACCATGCATGTGAAGATAAAAAAAGAAGAATAATGTGGTAAGCATGTAAAAGAGGGGAGTACCCGATTCGAGCTTTGGTGGAGGGAGGAAGGCTCGTCGGAGAAGGAAGAAGAAGAAGAGAGAGAAGGAAAAGGGGGCTGCTGTGTGTAGAGAAAATGATTCGACTATTGGAGAGGAGAGTGAAATGGGGAGCTTATGGCTTGGGAGAAGCTAAGGAGAAGAGCTTTCTTGGATTGGTTGGTGAGAGGAGGTGTGAGTGCTCAATTGATTGGAGGCAAGGAGTGTCGAGGCTCACTGTTGGGAAGGAGGAATTGGAGCGAGGGAAGGTGGAGATGAAGTTCACAGCTAAGGTGGTCGGTTTGGATGAACGAGAAGAAGAGAAGTTTTGGTTGGCTGTGGAAGGTGGTTTTGAGGGAAAATAAAAGAGAGGATGATGAAGCTTGTGAGAGAAAAGGGTAAGTTGGAGGATCTCACGACAAGGAATAGAGAGGGAAGAAGGTTAGCCGGAGGGGGGAAAAATGAAGAGGAGGTGGTGTTTCACTGGTAGAGAAGAAGATGGAGGAGTGTGAGAGCTTGCTTCTAGAGTGAAGGGAGGAGTTTGGGTTTTATAGGAGGAGAGAGAGACGGGAGGCTGGCGTGAGCTTTCGCGATAGCAAGCGTGGGAGATGTGCGGCTCGAGGAGAGAGGCGGAACAGAGATATGATGCTGCATGCGTGAGTTTCCTTTTCTTTTTAATAGAATAGGATAATATTTTTTTAATTTTTATATTATTCTTTTATGAGCGCATAAGATAAGATCAACTGGAGAGAGGGTGCGAAAGTTGTCATACGTGAGTTATTTTAATAGATCATGATAAATTTTTTTTATTATATATTATATTGTATTATGTTATAATATAATAATAATAATATTATTCTAACTATTTAATATCTACCTTATTATATCTACCTTGTTATATTGCATGGGATCTGATAAGGTAGATATGATTGCTTTTTTCAATTATTTTTTCATTATATATTATATTATAATAATATCATTATTCAAAGCTCTCTGTGCATTTTTTTTTTTTTGCCCGGACACGGCTTCGTGGTGAAATAAACATCCTTCCAATGCAAAATCGACGTTCCGGACGCGCTCGCGCAGTCCGTTTCGTCATCCGGGGTCGTTCCGACAATCTCGTCAACGATCGAGTCAAAAATGCGTCAAATTTAATTTTCATCGAAATTTTAGTTCGCGATCGACCGTGTCAAAATTTTATTCAAGTTTCGATTAATATGAAACAAATAAAGGTGCGTGCAATGTGAATTTTGATATTTATGTGCTTCGACTGACTGAATCGTGATATTGGTGCGTGAATGCACGAATGTCATAATGGGTTTTCTTGAGGCTTCTAAACTCTATGTGAACTCATCCTCAAATCCTCACAAATTGGTCCTAACTATCAAAGTGCAGGAGGTTTATGACCAGCCACGTAGGGTTTCGAAGAGAGCTAGGAGGTGGTTTAAATTTCTATATAGGTGGGTTCCATCTCTAGTGTTCTAGGATAGTCAAGGAAAAGTCCTATGACTAGATCCTAAGCACTAAGAGGAAAGAAAGACCTCACCAAAAATGAGTTCAACAGAGGCGAAACAGAATCTGTTTGATCGATAGGATCTGGGAGTTATACGATTAACCCTGTCAAGATTTGTTGCCCATAACGTCATAAAGGAGAGGACTACTGCAAATCTCATGACGGATTTATTAGGTATGTATGAAAAGCCATCGGCGAATAACAATGTGCATCTGATGAAAAAAAAAAATTATTAAACTTGAAGACGGCGGTATGTGCGTCTGTTGCTCAACACTTGAATGATTTCAATATCATCACAAATCAATTTTCGTCTGTTGAAATTGATTTTGATGATGAGATACATGCGCTGATATTTTTGGCTTCATTGTCAAATAGATGAGAAACTATGAAGATAGCTGCTAGCAGTTCTGCAGGTAAATCTAAACTGAAATATGATGATATTCGTGATTTGATTTTGGTTGAGGAGGTGCGCAGGAAAGATTCTGGCGAGACATCAGGTTCGAATTCGACACTGATTGTTGATTTTAGAGGGAGATCACATAACATGAACTCAAACAAAGGAAGATCGAAATCAAAGTCTGGTCAGCAGACAGCCTGAAGGAATTGTAGCAAGACTGACAACATAAAAAAGAACTGCAAGAATCCAAAAAAAAAGGGGAATGATAGTGCTAATGTTGTATATAAAGAGATACATGATGCACTATTGCTGACAGTTCACCGTTCTGTTGATAACTGAATACTGGAATCAGGGGCTTCCTTCCATACATTTTTCCACCGGGAGCTGATGTGAAATTATATTGCAGACGACTTTGGGAAGGTACATCTGACTGATGGAAAAGCTCTGAATGTAGTTGAGATGAGAGACGTTGATATTGCACTCCCTAACAAGAGCAAATGGACTTTGCAAAAGGTCAGACATGTTCCTGAGTTGAAGAAAAACCTCATTTCTGTTGGAATGAGGATGGTCATTCGGTAGTGTTCTCATATAGCATCTGGAAGGTTACCAAAGGAGCATTAGTGGTGGCTCAGGGCAAGAAAACTGACACATTATATGTGACTGTTGGTTTATTCAACACTGTTGCTACTACAGTTGCAGAGAGCACGACAGATCTGCGGCATTGCAAACTTGGTCACATGAGTCAGAGCTATAAAGAAATCTTACAAGATGAGAATTCGAGCAAGTGAGAGCTGACCAAGAAGGAGAAGTCGGATTTCCTGACAGGGAATTAGACTTGGGAATTGATAGAACTTCAACTAGGGAATAAGACATTGCACAATAAGTGGGTGTACCAGGTGAATGTTATAGGTACAATGTTGGACTTGTTGAAAAATGCTTTCAGCTAAGACATGATATTGCCCATGCAGTGATAGTTGTTAGCAGATACAAGAGTAACCCAAGAAAGAACTTGGAGGTACAATGCTATGTTGACGCTGATATGTCGATTAAGGATATTAATCTCGCGAAGTTGAAGTTGTGCTCGACTTCAGCTGGTTATCATGCATGAAGATTGTGGCTTTGAGTTGTAGAGATGGAAGATATCACATTTGAGGAAAAGGTCGGTACAGACAACTGATGATGTAGTTAGTGGGTGATGCAACTAATGTCCCAGTCTCCAAGTGGGAGAATTGTTGAGTTGTGGAAACCAGTCCACTTTATGGAAGTTAAATAACTTGTTGTTAATTAATTTCTTGTTAAGCTTCGCTTGTTTTGGAATCCTGCCTGAATTATCTTCTGAATCAAAATCTCGCTTCTTCGCTATGCTTCCCGCCTCTTGTTTTTTCTTCTCTAAATAAGGCAGTTGGCTTTTATGCATGATCCCACCATCTATTAAAGTAGCAGGTGTTCAGTCTTCTAAGATGCTTCTTCGGACGTGAGGTTTTGTTACATGAGAAAAGGAATTGGATTCCATATCTTTGGCTTCTGCGACCGAACTCTAAGAAAGAATGAATCGTAGGTGATGTTCTCCTAGGCTTCTTCTTCTGTAGTGACTCTCGGGTGGAGAGAGAGAAGAAGAGAGAGAGAGAGAGGAAGAGAGAGATTTCTTGTAATCGTTGAGATGATCGACGGGTATATTCCTCAATCTAATAAAATTCTCTGCAACTCCGTGAACGTAGTCAATTTGCCGAACCATGTAAAACTTGTGTGTTTCCACTGTTATTTTCTGTTTTGCGATTTTTCTTGATCTATTTTTTTGTTTTATTACCTTCGCTTTTCACAACACATTTCTTATGTGATATTGAAAATTTAAGCGAAGTAGACGCAACAACATTAGAATGGTGTGCTATACTGGTATATGTGTAAATGCCCCTTTCAAATTTTACTTACTTACAATGGTGGATATACCTAAAATGATTATTGCCATGCAGGCACATAATATTGGTGTGCATTTAAATTGTATTATTTGTTTAATGAATCAACCCCTTCTTTGGCTGCCAACACACATATAAATTACTCTTATCTTGGCCACCTTGCATTGGTTTTGTCCTGGTTGATGCCAATTCTCTTGCAAATATTAACTTTTTTTGTGATATAGATGTTGTCTCTTCCTCAATTAATAATTATTGTTTCATGTCCTCCATAGTCGCCAAATCCCTCACCTCCTCTTTCAACCATGCATCAAGTGCTGCCAACCTTCTCTATCATAGCAATCAACTCCCACACTTTTTTTCTCCTCCCAAAAAATACTTTGATTTTTCTCATCTAATATATATATCTCTCATGCTATGAAAGAATGTTATATTGATTCTTCTCTTCTCTTAATTTTTATTTTTAATTACTAATTGAAGGACCAATATCCATTAGTTGGTGCAGGTCACATACATCTTAGCTTTGTTACTGAGTGTTTGTCTGTTTCTTCCTTTGACGGTAACGATTGAAGAAATATTTTATATGTAATTTACATAAGTAGCGCCCAAGTTCTATGTATTTACATATCTGACAACCAAATTCTATGTAGTTACATATCTAACACCAAGCTGTTCGCATATTTTACATAAGATAGTGAACACTCTCCTCAAGAGTAAAGCCAAAGAGGATTACGAACGAGGCAGTCGGTGTGGTTGTGCAAGCTACATAGTCGGGTCATATTTTGTTATATCATTTATGTTATGTTGTTGTAAACTTTTTTCTTTAAACTCAAAGTGACTTGGAAGTTTTCTTGACCAGTTATAAAATTTGCAATTTCTTATCGCACAATGCCAAATTTTCATTATCTGATTGCTGTAGCCTGTATTTGATCTTCCTTTATAGTAAATAATTAAGTTTTAATTGTCCAGAGAGGCTTACAGTTCTTGCTGAAGGATTTAGAGTTTCATTATCAGAGGTCAACTTTGCTGAATAGTCAATTTTACCTAGCTACTGTCTTGTTACATCTGCCAAATAATTTTAATATTTACTTATGTTCAGCTTGCTTGTTCTCTTCTTTTTATAGAAAATAACAAGAAACTATAAACTTCGAGGAAAAAGACCAGGGCAACATCAAAAGTATGCATTAGGCATTAAAGAGGTAATTCATTGTGTGCACCTTTGCTAGTTGTCTACTTAGCATATTGTTATATTAGAAGTAAGAATGCCATAATCGCTATTTTTTCTGATTTTTTGTATTTCATTTTTTTTTATTTTAACTCTACCAATGCCTTTGTTTATTCATTTTTCGACCCCCTCTCAATCAAATTGGAGAGGTGGACTATTCATAAACACATTCTCTACCAATGTTGATTTTGATTTGAGTAGAAAACTAGTCTATGTAAATCGTTATAGAACATAAACTATACATCAAAATATTCTTATAACTCAATCAAAATCATTGGTTTGGAAGTGTGAGAAATTTAAATCATCAAATGGACTATATAGCTTCTACTAAAATTTAGATAACTGGCGCATACTCAAATGTTTAATATACGTCTTGAATATCTTTTCCTTATGGTACTTCCAAAACTATACACCTATATTCTTAAACTACAGGACAAAAATAGAGGACATTAGGATGCTTGCTAGCAAAACTCTCACTGCCAGTCCCAAGTTTCAAGCCGATTTAAGGCTATTGCGCGTCGAATGTTGATCGGTTCGGCGCATTTAAGCATGAAATCTGCACTTCTCCTCGAAGCAGATGATCCAACTCAAGTTTTCATCAGAAAGTTTCCTGAATTCAGGTGGAAAGATCAGAAGCAATTCCCTCGTTATGAATAGAGTTTAGGAATTGCCCTCTTGATTCATAATCCTTGAATTTATAATGCAAGCTATATGCAATTATTTCCATCAATTTTCTCTTTTTTTTTATCCTTATTAGTAATCTGATAAACTTTTGTTTTAGTAAAAATTAAGGTTTTGGTGTTGGAAATGTAAATAAGTAATAATTGAGTGGCATGTGTGTAAATTTTTATTTAAAAAATAAGATTTGTTTTGTTTTAAGTCTCATTTTCTTTGCCTGTGATTACTCACAATACTGTTCATGCAAGTCCCTCTGCTTTACATTGTCACAATTCAAGCGCAATTGCAATGGCTCAAGCTGATTTCTTATAATGAATGCATGGTCATATTGAGACTAATTGTAAATTTTGGTTGACTTTTTCACCAATACCCATTCTTTAGGACATTTTCACCAATACCCATTCAAAATAGTAGTTTCAAGTCCTAATTAATCTAGGAGCTAAGTAGTTTAGCCACATTTTTTGCTTTATCCCTCAAAAAGAAAGGGAAAAGCTTTAGCCTTACGCCGTCGTTGGAGACACCGTTATAACGGAATGTAGCGCAGAGTTTTAAAAAGCTCGCTAAGTGGAGATTAGGGTTTTTGGAAGGTGCTCCCTCAAATTGATTGTTCTGCACCATTTGGATGATAACATGTTTCGGTTTGAAGATATTGGCTTCTATGACATGGGTATGGATACTAAGATGGATTTCATTTATCGTAGGATTGTCAGTCTCTTAAAGGTCGAGGCATGTTGTCTGATTATGAATTTTAGGAGTGTTATCGGGTTTGTCTGCTATTTATCCTAAAATTTGTTGTAATCTTTTATGATTTTTTTAATAGTTTTCTCTTACTCAGGATAGTAGGGTTCAACTTCTGAAAGTCCTTAACTACACGTACACTAATTATGTTCAATTAGCAAGGAACCCTAACCTAAAGAGAATAACAGGCAATTCAAATAAAAGCTACAAAAGCAAAACAAACTACAAAATCAAGAACAAGTAAACATCAAATATTATGCATGAATTAAAAGTAAGAAACAATAAAAATAAACAATCAAACAAATTTAAAACAGAGTGTTTTTGGATTTTGCAAGGCAAAATAGAAAAAATAAAAAAAACCAAGAAACAATGTCACCACATTTTTCAAGTCGAAAACCTAAAATTTCAACTAACATTTTCCTAAATCAAATTCACTGTTGTTCCTTGGAAACGACGCCAAAAATTTAACAAGCACCAAGTGCTGCGAAGCACGGGCTGCTCATGCATGCATACATAGCGTATCAATAATACCGAGTTTGAGTCAGGTTGTTGATCCCACCGGGAACGAGGAAAACTCAATAAAGTAAAAGATTTAGCCTACTACTATCAGTCCAAGTTTGAAGAATTTGATTAGCAAGTTCAATTGTAAACATATTTGAAAATTATGAAAAGCACGTCTATCCTATCAAGTAAGAGATTCTTATATCAAATAAGGTGTTGAGAATTTTTCCCTTTTAATTGATGAAGTGATGAATAGAACTTAGGATTAGATCCAAAAATAGTGTCAATCACGAGAAAAATTATTCTTTACCCCCTTCCAATGGTCTAAGGAAGATTAACAGTCTTAAGCTTAGCCCCTAAAACTCTTGATCTACTCAAATGAAAATTACTCATAGAAGATTGAACAAATTCATTGACAATATCCCTATTTCAATGGGTTCATGTGGTTAACTCTTTTAGTTCCATAAAAATCATTTTGGATATCAATATTCACAAATGGTTTTAACAATTAACTGGCCAAGTGAAAAGTAAATTAAGCTCTTAACTTAACACAACACTTTTAAATTCAAATCAAAGCCCAAACAATCTCAAATCCTTTCTCTTATCCATTCACCATCTAAAGTTGAAGAGAGAATCAAGAAGACTACTCACTATTTATGAAAAATCTCATCAAAACAAATTTAGTTTTATGCATAAACATCAAAATCCAAGTTTTCACATAAAGATGTGAAGAAAATACAATGTAAATACACTTATCTTTTTCACAAACAAGTTGTTTGAGGATGTCAAACCAACAAACAATCGCTCTCTCAATCCTCTCAATCTCTTTCTTTTCCTCTATTTTAATCTTTTTGCAAAAGCTTTGGGCTTCTCCTCCTATCCCTATCCCAGAATGTCAGAAGAAAAATGATGAAAAAGCCCTCCTTATTTTGTGATCAAGCCTTTTATACATCTCTCCTCAAACTCAAGTTTTGGAACTGCCAAAATTGTCAAATTTTGGTTTGGGTGCCTAGGCGCGACTAACTTGAATATTTTTTTATTGAAGAACCGACGTCATGACACCGCAATCACGGTTTCTAGTTGCGGGTGGCAGCGCTTAGGCACCCAAGGGTCAACACCACCTTTCTATTCTCTAGGGAATTTGCTCAACTTGGGGATGGATTGGTGGCCAAGGCACCACAGACTCGACACCTATGCGCCAGATCACAACTTTTTCTATTTCAATTAGTTTAAGTCTTGTTTGATCCTATTTCTGCTGCAACCTCCAAAACGACACTAGAACCTTCCTCAAAGCATAATATTATCAAGTAAAATACAACGTTTACAAACTTTTAATACAAGTTTAAGGACATGTCACTTTGACCCGACTGATGTAAAGAAAAGCTGATGGTAGATGTTGATTGCCAGAAAGTCTGATGGTAGTTTTGACGATGATGATGGTCGAGCACCAGAGCTCCGGTGGTGGTGACATTGGTAATCAGCAATTGTAGTGGTTCGACTTCAACATCGACAGATGCCAAACAACGGCGGTCTGATGACAGTAGCGATCTGACGGTGCTGGTATGGTGGCGGGTATGGTTGGCTAACTATGGTGGTTGTTAAATAATGCTGATTGAGCAACAATAGTCTGGCAGTGGCGGGGGCTCAACCGTAGTGGTTGAGCAGTGGTGGATCGGTGGCAGCGGCGATCAGACGATAGTAGTTTGGTGAGGGCAACAGTCAGACGACGGTGGTCGGACACCAGTAGTTCATGGGCGGTGGCTGTCAAAAGACGAGGGCCGAGCAACGGTTGTCCGTGGTAGTTGCGATCAAACGACAATGGTCTAGCGGCGACGACGGTAGTCCTATGATAATTATCTTGGTTTTGAAGCTTATTTTGGTCATCTTCCACTTATTTAGAAATGAGGGATAAAGTGAAAATTATTGTTTTAGAGGCTTGTCTGTAAAATGAGATACATGTATGTCATTTTTTTTATTAATATGACATAATCCTCTCTAATTTATAGAAGCGAGTAGAATTAATTATTACATGTGAAATTGTAACCCTATTACGATCATAGTTTTTCTTTCTTCTCAATTGTTTATTTTTCGTCAAACCACATAAATTATTTGTTATGGGGTATTGTTTTCCACATTGCATAAAAAATTCAGAGCACTTGAGAGCCTGTCATTCTCTAACTCCTAGGTTTTGACATGTAAATCTCTCATGCGTAAGCCATCGATTGTCTCTTGTTGCTTCTTGGCATCATCGCTCATGATAACTTCCACCACTATGACCTGACATAATACATACATTTTATAATATTTACATTATCATCATATCTTTTCTTAGGCCTAGGATCCATCAGTTTTGCTTGACGAGTTTCCATATTAGAACTGCTGTTTTACTTTTTTGCATGCCGTGCCTGACTAACCTGTTTGTAGAGTACCTTTTAACAGCTCCGCATATTAAATATAATTTTATTTTCATAAATATGGGCTCCACTCAATAAATTAACAAGTCAAGCTTAAGTTAGTTCTGACTCAACTCGTGTTAGCTTGTGAGGGGTTTCATTTAAAAAATAATTAATAAAAACATATATTAAATTCAAAGAAATTATCTTTAAAATTTTCATTTTTATATCAGATCATTTTTTATTAATTATCAATTAATATATCATTTCATTGCAACACTAGCTTAAATTAATATTTTCTTATCTCTTTCATGTTAAATAAGTTGGCTTTTCAGCTAGCTCAATCTCGATTAATTAATCATGCTCAAGCTTATGTCGAGGATGGCTCAAACTCGACTAACCTTGTTTACACCCCTAGTCTAGTTCGAGCTCAAACTCGATTAATTAATCATGCTTAAGCTCAAGCTGATGGTGGCACAAACTCAACTCGACTCAACTCATTTACAACTCTAGTTTGAACTATATATCTAAATCAAACTTCATATTAATTGCAATCATTCCATCATGTGAAGCTAGGAAGTTCACTTTTGCTTTCATCTTTATCCATACTTGCACCCAATACACTATCTATTCTTTCTCTTCACGAACAACACTACTTGGAGCTCTCATAATAAGTCAAATTATCTTTTAGTACAAAGCGGTCCAAAAATATAGTCTAATTTTCTCAGCATATTTGAAATTTAGTCTACTATAAGTCGGCTGATATTCATTAGTTAAAAGACTGCAAAAATTGTCAAAATAAAAGGCCCAGCCTCATTTTTCAGCCCAAAGCTTTCCAGAAGCCCAACATAAGGAGAAGTTCCTCAACTTCATAATAAATGCATCATTAGTGATTTTTTTCTTATATTTGGAAATTTTTTCTTCTTTTATTTCTCTTTTGAAGTTCATCAGTCTCGATAAGACGAATCCAACGAGCTCAAGATCGCTTAATTCCGACATCGTTAAGACACTCAAATGTCCATCAAACGTCATCTGATTGAGGGAAGCTCTCCGGACTGTCTGATCAAAATGATTCATATTCCTACATTAATTGCACCCAGAACACTATAAATAGAGTCTTACCCCTCACATGGAGGAGGAGGCTAAAGAGAAAACTTGAGGAGAAGGAGCTCAAGTCCAACATCATTCCTGTCATCGTTGATCGTCGTTGACCATCACCGACCGTCAACGACCAACGCCGACTTTCGTCTACCACTGCCGATCACCATTTACCACTGCTGACCAGACGCCGTCAGTCGACGTTGTAACTTAGAAATTCTA